AACTGAATTGCAATACATTTGATTTGAATTGCATACAACAAAATTATGTTTTAAAATATATATTAGTATAACCAAGCTAATCACCTCACATAGTTACCACTTTGTGTGTGTGAAAGCATTTAGGATTTATTCTCAGCAAATTTCACATAAACGAGATATTTAATCTGTAGTTAATTTAAATTCTGTATAACTGAAATGTGCCCTTTGACCAACATCATACATTTTTTATTACATAAGTGGCAGCATATGAGCTAAAACTGGGTAACATGGAAACTGTATATTCTTTCTGAAACTTGACTCTGAATGAAATATTTTGCTAAAAGCTATTGTATCTTTGATGTTTATTATTTCACACATTTTTATCCAATAAGCTCCTCATATTGTTTTGTTTTGTTTATATTTCAGGAAAATAATTTCTAGAGACGCTGTGATTCAAGTGTCTTCATCACCTTGGCTGTGTGATGATAGACACATAAACAGGAATGCCAGGAGAGTTTAGACACCACTGAAAAAGAAACACTAAATTTTTACTAAAGGTTAATGGCAGCAATTTTTATGAATTTTATTTTTTCATAGTATTAAGAAGTACTAGACTTTTCAATGATATAAAGGGGTAGAAAACATGATAACAACTAAAAATTATAAAGCGGACAGCATAATAAGGGATTGGCAATGACTTTAGTACCCTCCCTCCGATCAGTGATGTAAACACTTCCAGATATTTGAATATAAATCGTCAAGGACAATGTGAAATGTTTGTGCCCTAGGAGCTATTCTTTGTTGAATTTGAATACATACTTTTCACCTTTCCATACTTGAAATTCGTGGCAAAAAATTAATTGTTTAATTATAAAATTAAAATAAAAGCATGATTCAGGGATGGGTGTGATGGCACAGGCCTATAATCCCAGCACTTGGTAGGTGGATCTCTGTAAGATCCAGGCCACCCAGTCTACATAGTGATTTCCAGGTCACCTAGGGCTAGAGGGAGACCCTGTCTCAGAAAGCAAAAGCAAACACAAACAGACAAAATATTACCCATACTATCCTAATTTACATGACTAATAAACTATACAACAAAGGTTTGAAAAATGTCTTTTATTCTGATGTAATATGTTCTAGTAATTTGGAGAAAACACTGCCAAAATTTAAACATAGTATTTTGTTAAGAAGTTAAACTTATGCCAAGAAACATACCTTTGATTAGCAAATAGTCCAATGGTTTCTGTAGTTCTGATATACTTTTGTTTATGCCTATTCTACACTTGGTTCTTCCAAAATTTAGTATTTAAGTAAAATAAAATTTAATGATTATTTGCTGCTGTACACATATAATATGCAAAATACAAATTCTTGATTCTATATAGTATTATACAAAGTACAAACAGAAAGTTACATATATTACTTCTCCAATAGTAACTATTTGTCCCCTCTCTTAATTTTTTTTTACCTTTATTTATGGATAGTTTGTGAATTTCATATAATATGATCATATTTAGATCCCCTAACCTATCTGCCCTGCTCACTTGCTACTCTGCCTTTCCCAGAAGCTATTGCGTTTCAATAGTTCTTCAGGTAAGATTGTGGCTTTTTACCAACTTCCCCATGTTTAGCTGGGATTTTATCTGGCTTACGCATACAAGGGACTTTGCATGCTCTCGCCATTGCTCTAAGTTCATATGCATTACTGTCCAGCTGTCTAGAAAACTCTGTATCCTAATGGTCAGCTACCACCTCTGTCTTCCAGCCACGTTTTCCAAAATGATCTCTGAGCTATTGGAACCAGATATTTGGTAAAGATGTCCTATTCAGGGATAATCACTCTGCAATCTTTTATGCTCCGTGTATTGGCCAATTGTGAGTTTTTGTGTTAATCACCATCTGCTGCATACGGAATCTTCCCTGGTGAGAGTTGAGAGATGCATTAATCTTTGGGTATAACAACAAGTTATTAGGAGTCAGTTTAATACTGTAACTGTTTACTAGAAAACTAGTACCAGGCTCCTCCGTATTCCCTGTGACCTTCTAGCCTCAGGATTTTATACCTGCTATCAATGCAAGTTATGGACTCTGTCTTATGAAGTGAACCATAGATCCAATTACAAAGTGATTGAATACCCCCATAATATTCATGCAATTATTGTACCAGAGGTCCTATCTTGCCAAGCCAGTTGTTATTGAAGAATGAAGGATTCAAAGTATGGTAAGGTTAATAATTTTTTTTTCTAGTAGCATGCATAACACCTTCAGTTCTATGAAACCAAGCCAGTAGAAATGAAGCTTTGAAGTCAGTACCAACTTGATTTCCCCTTGATTGTCTATGGTTTGTGTATATAGTGTCTTCAGCAATAGGATCTTACTGTCAAATTCTGATGGGAAGCCAAGAACAGTGGCAGTGGTCAATATTGTTTAGGGTCAACATCTTCAAAAGAGGGGATTCATCCTTGAATTGGGCTTTTCCTTTGCTAGCCTATGTTGTGTAGAAGGGGCACTATCCTTCTGTTATAAGGTAACTCCTTTTAATCTCCTTTAATAATGTAAATTTTGTATACTTTAATAAGATTCTATGGTAGTAAGTTTTTATATGGCTTTTTATAAAGGCCTTTAGCTTAGTTATCCTCTCCACTTTTCTTCTTTTTAAAATAAATATCTAATTTATCCTCAGCCTTTTTGATATTATTTCTGCATTCCAAATGCCATTACAACAATACTATTATACATAAGATGTAATGACAAATAAAGCAGATGACTCAGAGACTCAAATGAATGTAGCATCATTTCTTTCTTCATGAATGTTTTATTCTTTGTGGTTAGATATTAGTGACTATTTAAATGTTTAACTATCTGGGCAGAGGGAACTAAAAATTCCTTCTTAAGAGTTCTCATATTTTCATAAGATATTTTCACCATATTCAGTGAAATTTGGGGAAGAAAACCTGCACTGTTCATTGATGTGAAATCTCAAATTTCCAAGACATTGTTGTATGGCAAGCCAGAGGAACACTTTGCCAAGTATTTGGTTTCCTTTTCTATTTATAGCTATCAATAATTTAAGGAGACTCAATCCATATGTTTCTGATTCATTTGCACTTAAGTCTGCAAGATGCGGTTTAAAGGAAGCATACACAGTCAAATAGGTCTTTTGAAGCTGTTCCATTTATTTTGGGGCACGGGGAAGCCATACTTTGCTAATGTGAAATTAATTCAAGAGACATTTAGGTATCTTAGACTTACCATAAGATTTTTTTCTTTCCTTGGAATTTCTGATAGTCATTTGCTTTAGCTTTTATTCTTGAAATCTGAACCCACCGAGTTCTTTACGAAGATTGAATTAGGACTTCTGCCTCAAATAATAACAAATATCTGATGGATTCAGACCCATCCTAAAGTATGTGTGAATTGCAAATGAAGATATTAATTCATATGGGTGACTTAATAGCATACTATTTCATTTACTATTATTTTTTATGACCTTAAAAACTAAGTACAACAAAGGAAGATATGTGTTTTTCTACAGGGCTAATGTGTTCATAATTTCTCTGTGTTTTAATTCTTAGAAATATGTAGCTTCTAAGTAATCAGCAATTACATTTTTGCATAGGAAATTCTATATTCTAATTAAGAATTTAATAAGAAAATACTCTTGTTGAAATTTTCACTATAATCTAATGATAAAGTCTAAGATATGTATGATGTCTCAAAAAACTTTGAAAGTGTAATTATTAGAGAAAATTGTTTATATATAATTCAACATTTTTTACTTTTTTCTTGATAAATGAACATAAAATTCAAATGTAGTTAGAGGTTTTATTTTGAGTTTGTTAATATAGTCTCAGGTTTTATTTTGAGTTTCAGGAATTAAATGTAAAATGATAAGAATAATATTTAGTGTAATAACTTAAGACTATGCTAAGTAACACCTTATGTGTGTGTTCAACTGGTGACAAAGTCATGAAAGGCACAAAAAAAATTCTCTTTTACTTATTCCAAGAACTCATTGTTCAGTATGAATTTTGATGCATACAAGAAGGAATATGACAACACAGCTCAAGAAATCTGTATATTCTGACCCAAATCATTCAAAGGAGAGGGAGTAGTCTCTTAATTTATTGACCTCTGTTTAAGGATTATAGATCACTGACACTCTAATGAGATATGATTTCTAGAACCCAGTTCAGAGTAAGATGGATGAGATATTTTCATTTACTAAGAGAAGACATGAAGTTGGAAAGGTGGTAGTGTGAGGGAGAAGATGGGGTAGCAGTTCTGAATATAATTAAAATTCATTGTATGAAAGTTGTGAACCAAAATTTCTCCTAAACTTAAAAAAAAAGAATATGCCAGGGCTATGTTTATTTCTAAAGGTCTTAAAAATATGTGATTATTGCTAGGTGTCATGACAAACACCATAAGTCTCAGCATTTGAGAGTCAGAGTTAGGTAGTTATCTTTGAGTTTGATGCCAGTCTGACTTACATAGAAGGTTCCAGGCCAGCCAGGGTTATGTAGTAAGGCCCTGTTTCCAAACATATATATACTATTTTGGTTTGAATGAGAAATGTCCCATAGGCCCATATGTTTGAATATTTGGTCTCCATGTGGGCATGATATTTTGGAAATTTAAGAAAACTTTAAGGAAGTAAGTCCTTGCTGGAGGAACTATTTCAGTGGGGATAGATCTAGGTTTTATAACCTGGCCCCATTTCCTCTTCTGTCTACTTCCTGTGGGCATATGAAATGTGATCACTCTGTTGACAGACAGACAGACACTTCACACTCCTGTTCCTGTGCCTTCCTCACCAGGATGAGCTGTTTTCCCATAGAACTGTAAACCAAAATGCATCCTTTTCTCTTGTGTAATGGTAGTTTATCATAGCAACAGAAAAGTAACTGATACAAAAACTGGTATCAGAAATAGGATTGCTGATGTGATAAATCTGATCATTTTGTATTTGGGGGGAATATGGAAGATTTTAGAACTTTGGACTAGAAAAAGCCTTGAATGCTGTTGGCAGAGCTTAATGAGTTATTCATATAGGAGCTTGGAAAACAGAAATCTTAGAGTACTGTAGAGAGTGGGAGATAGTTCCTGAAGTTTCAGATGGAAGTAAAGCCTATTAACAATTAGGCTAAAAGCCATCCATGTGATATTGTGGGAAAATATTTGGCTGTATTTTTCCCATGTCTTGAGATTTTGTATTAGCCTGAATTAAAGACCGAAAAAAAAAAAAAAAAAGAGGCCAATTACTTTGGCAAAGGAAATTTCAAGAGAGCAAAATATTAGAATATTAGATGGATGATTTGACTTCCTATTTTTAGACCTAGAAAAATACAGGGAGAGAATGTTCAAGTTGTGTCTGTGATAATGAGCACTACCTAGGATTTAAAGAATCAATTGCAAGAATCAGAAGTGGGACAATGCAAAGTAGAAGTGACAGAAGATAGGTTTTTTTGGTTTTTGTTTTTTTTTTTCTTTTTGAGTCAAGGTCTCCCTATAGCCCCAGCTGTCCTAGAACTCACTATGTAGACAAGGCTGGCCTCCAACACACAAAGATCCACCTGCTTCTGCCTCCCAAGTGCTAGGATTAAAGGTGTACGCCACCATGCCTGGCTTAGAAGATAGTTCTTAAACCTGACCTTTACTAGAGAAAAGGGACAATCCCAGAGTCAGCATACATATGTGAACCCAGGACAAGAAATTATGGTAATCTGGCAATACTTTTACTGGAACATATTCAACTGAGGAAGACTTTTAAACAAGAAGTGAAACAGACTCTTTGACATGAGGTTATGAGACACGAGGGTGGATAATATCATTCTGAGTGCTGTAGAATCAGAGAAACCAAGTCATAAAGCTACTTACCACTGCTTAAGATAATGGCTGTATAATGTGAGGCAACACAGAGGACATCAATCACTGATGTCCTGGTTCTTTTGAGGCATTATGAGTACATGAGTATGACTGCCTGTGTGGACCTGAATAACACGGACTGGATGAAAATTGAGAAATGACAAGCATTGCTAAAAAAAATTCATCATGAGTTAAGCAGAGTTTGATGTCCAATTGACAGGATCCGATAGGACTCTGTTCCCAGACCAGCTAACTTGGTGTTGATATGGGCCTCAGTGGCTTTGCTGAGCCTCGTGGTGGATGTGATCTTACTAATAGTGGCTCTGTCAGATATAAATGATTTAGACAGTCATATCAATCAGGCTTCTAAAGTGCAAAAGTGATCAAGGGGATGAGAGAAGGCCAAAGCAGACAAAGAATTCTATCCAAGTCATTCAAGACTAATATGAAAAAACTGTGTGTACTGGAGTTTCTTCAGAAGAAATTAACAGGAAGTCAGATGCTGTGGTAGAGTGTCTGGAAGACTTTAAACTCTGATCAATAATTCACAGAAAAAGATAAGTGATAAAACAGTGTAATAATTAAAAAAGTAGGTAGGTGGATCATCTTCAGTCCCATTGTTCCAGATCTCAGGCCTTCTCTGCTAGCTAGTGAGAATCAGCCATTTGTGTTCTCATCTTCTCTCCCTTGGCCTTGGTCCTGTCCCACTGAGGCTGCTGGAGAGTGCCTGACTAGCCTGGGTGAGTTACCCAAATCCCCCTGTGCCCATTCCCCTGCTTGGGATCATCTCTAGTCCCTCCCACTGCTGCAGAAATTAGGTCTTCTCTGCTAGCTAGTTAGTCCCAGCCCATTCTGTTCCCATCAGCTCTCATTAGGCCTTGGCCAGATTCTGCTGAGGCTGCCAGAGAGTGCCTGATTACCTGGGAGAGAGCTGAATTTTGTTGCTCTAGGTCACCAGTCTCCTGCTCTCAGACTGGTCCAAGCTGCATAGCTTGAGGGCTCACACCTTCTTTGCTTCACTAGTTAGAATTGGCTCAGCTGATACCTGTCAATTTGACTTGGATCTAGGCTTTTTCGCCTTGATGGAGAGCTCTTGAACAGCTTGTCTGAATTCCTCTGTTCTCTCCAATGAAAAAAAGGAAAGAAAAGAAAGAAACTGACGCCCAGGCCAATTAACTATTCTTATTGGATCAGAAAACAAACCAAGCCACATCAACAATATAAAGAGTCCAAATTCAATTAAACAAAGGCAGGCTTGAGTTTCATATATGACACACAAGCAAGGAAAGAAAACTACATGCTCAAGTAACAATGAAAAATGCAATAATATCAAAAAACAAAATAATATGTCCCCCACTAATCCCCACCAGTCTTTTAGAAGTGTACTACAATGAAAACTACCTAGAGGTACCCCAGGACACAAAGTTTAAAAGAAAAATCATAAACATGATCAAATAATTCAGTGAATTTAAAGAAAACACCAAGAAGTCAAAGAACTCAATGAGGATAGGGAATAATGTCAAGAAAAATGACAAAGACAATTCATGGATTTGAAAATTAAATTTATGAAAGAGATAAAAATATTGAAGAAGCTCAAAAGAGGGGGACCATAGGAGACAGGTTTTATCAAGGGAAAATGAGGAAAATGGGGATAATTTAATGGGGGAGGTAGGACAGAGGTTTAGACAGGGAAAGAGAGAGGAGTGATAAGTAATATTTAGCTGGTGAAAAATCAGAGTGAAATATGTTAGTTCAAAGCGTAATGAAAAATTACACATATAATGTTCCCATGTATACAGCTGAAGACTAAATAAGAAGAAACAGTGACAGGCAGAAGAAAACTCCCTTCAAGTTTTTGGCCAGGGTAGTCCAAGAGACTACCAAAATTACACAGGCTATTGGCAAAACCCTTGATTGCCTCCCAGAACATGAAGGTAAGATCTTATTTCTAAAGATAAAACATGTTTGGATGCAGAACTTGGAGCAATGGAGCTGGAAATGAACTGGAAGCCTCCTCTCTGAAGACTAGCTCTCATAGTTTTGGAGGACATTATGCAAACTGCTAAGGGAGAAAAATCAATCAATGGCTGAATCCCATCTTTAAAGTCTAATAACCACAAGACCGGCACAACAAACTACATTGAAGCAGTAGTGGTACTTTTATCATGGGGGTAATCAACAGCTACCTATTTGGACTTAAAGCCTGCTCTATAGGAGCCAACTCATATGTGGTAATATAAACACAGCCAAATACACATGGCTGGAGAGGTCTAGATTTTAGCGAAAACCCTAGGGCTGCCACATTCCTAGACAAATGTAATTTCTTACTGTATACTAAATAAGGATCCTTATATTTATAGGCATGTATTCCAGTCACCACTCATCAAAGAAATTTCTTTGGCAATAGATAGAGATTCTTATAGTACTCCAGAACTGGTCACACAGAAATTGTGTCTGTGAACTGCCCAACCCTAAGTGACACATCTACCATGGAACATCTACATCTAAGGCTCATGAAACATCATGGAACAGTGGTGGAAGGAATAACTAAAGCTTCTCTCAACTCTCATCAATGAATCTCCCTCATGTAACATAGGACAGCAAATACAAAAGACCGCAAATGACCAAAGTGTAGGGAGTAAGAGTCTGCAGAGTGTGGGTGCTTGGGCAAGACTCTGATATTAAATTTCACTCACCCAAGGCTCAAGGGCCATTACAGAACAGGGGGCAGAAAGACTGTAAGACCCAGGGGGTAGGTATATGACTGTGGGAGACAGGCTTGAGCCTAGGGTGATATTGTAACTGTCAGGATCACATGGTTTCCAGGAATCCAGGCTCTGTAATCTAAAACCCAGTATGCTAATGAGACATCCTACCCGCTATTCTGTGATAGAACGTTAAGTCTGTTATGCTAATAGGATGCTAAGTCTGTTATGCTAATAAGGTATCCTACTTGCTGTACAGTGATAGGACACTAAACCTTGTATGCTAATAAGGTGTCCTACTTGATGTGCTGTGATTGGACCACTACCCCTATATATGCTTGTGCCTTCCTGCAATAAACCAGACTTGTGTCACTGAACCTGGTCTCCTGTGTCTGAATGTGGCTCCACTGATACAGTCTACTCACCAGCCCTGGGTTCTAGTACCGGGCAGAAGCAGCGATGACAGGAGGCAGCACAGGGCA